CAAGAGGCCCCCAAGAGGGCCCAAAAACGGCCCAAGAGGGCGCCAAGACGGCCCAAGAGGCGCCACGACGGCCCAAGACGGCCCCAGGACGGCCCCAAGAAGGCCCCAAGAGGCCCCCAAGAGAGCCCAAAGACGGCCAAAGGCAGCCTAGTCCCTTCACCCCCGCCACCCAGAAGCTCCCAGGAGGCCCCAAGAGGCCCCCGAGAAGCCCCAAAGGTCCCCAAGAGGCACCCAAGAGGCTCCCCAAGAGCCCCCCAAGAGGCCCAACATACTCCCAAAGGCTCTTAGCACCGCGGCTCCCAAGAGCGAGCGGTGACGTAATCGAGCTGATAAGACCAAAGCTCCCAACAGAGAGCTGCGGCGTAATAAGTTCTTGCAGCTAGGGCACAGGGACGGGCGGCAACGCGTGGACAACGAGCGGTCCACGCAAGGACAACGCGGGGTTCTGGAAAGCTGGCAGCCCAAACACGGAAAACGCAACGCGACCCGACCGCCCCCTCCAAAACAAGAAACGCGCTCAAAGAAAGCTCCGCGACTCTCCGAGGCTGAGATAGGACAAGAGCGAGGGGAAGGGAGTCAATAAGAGGTGTAAGAGCGGACGAGCCAGCGATCTCGTGCGCTCTGAAAGCAAGTGCGTTTTCCGTCCCCGTGCCAAGCAGGTCTATTGGCCTTCGTCTCATTGTGCTACTGTTATTCCCCACCGCCTCTTGGATGCCTGTGGTGATCTCTTGGGAGGCCTCTCGGGAGCCTCTTGAAGACTGTTTGGGGCCTCTCGGAGGCCTCGTCGGGGCCTCTTTGGGCCTGATTCTGCGCCGCCTCTTGGGGGCCTTCTGGAGCTTCTGGGGTGCTTCTCGAGGGACTGCTGGCGGCCTCGGAGGTCGTCTTGGGGCGGGGGGCTCGAAATGTCGGTTCGTGTGCCCCCTCTGGGGCCTCTCTTGGGCCGCTCTTGGGGGCTTCTTGGGCTGTCGGGGGGGCCTCTTGGGGCCGCATTGGGGCGATATTTGGGTTCTCTCGGACCTTCTTGGAGCGCTGGCAGCCCGAAAACGCGAGAACGCTAAATTCCTTCAGGCACCTTAGAAAAGTATGCAATTCTGGCCTCTCGAGGCACTTGTGGAAGTGCTCTTGGAGCCCTCTTGGGGCGTATTGGTGGCGTCACGCGATGAAATGTGCCAAGCCCGAGAAGCCACGCGATGCGCCCCGGCAGATCCTGGAAATTGGGAGTCAAGGCCCATGGATTTGCATTCACTCAGGACTGAGGACGAAGAGCTCTCAGGAACCTGCAGACACTCCAGCTCGTGCTTCTGGGCCCAGTGGCGGATAGAAAGATGGTTTGCCCGAACTGGGTACGGAAATCATGGGTACGATGCCCGATAACAAACGTTGTCCAAATCCGCCAGCGGCCGCTGTTGGGCAGGCGGACCTCTCTCTCGAATGGGCAACGTCCGCGGCGCCGCCGACAGCGAACCCTGCTCAAGATGGACAGAATCTGCCGTCGGTCTTCGTACCCATCCGTTCCGTTCTCATGTCGATCGTACCGGGACGGGTTTGTTAGGTTTCTTGTCTCGACTGGACAGCGTCCGCAGCGCCGCCGACAGCGAACCCTGCTCAAGATTGACAAGGCCTGCCGTCGGTCTTCGCACCCATCCGTCCCGTTCCCATGTCGATCGCACCGGGATGGGCTTGCAAGGTTTCCTGTCTCGAATGGACAACGTCCGCGGCGCCGCCGGCAGCGAACCCTGCTCAAGATTGACAGGACCTGCTGTCGGTCTTCGCGCCCATCCGTCCAGTTCCCATGTCGATCGCACCGGGATGGGCTCGTAAGGTTTCCTGTCTCGAATGGACAACGTCCGCAGCGCCGCCGACAGCGAACCCTGCTCAAGATTGACAAGGCCTGCCGTCGGTCCTCGCGCCCAACCGCTCCGTTCCCATGTCGATCGCACCGGGATGGGCTTGCAAGGCTTCCTGCCTCGAATGGACGGCGTCCGCGGCGCCGCCGGCAGCGAACCCGGCTCAAGACGGACAGGGCCTGCCGTCGGTCCTCGCGCCCAACCGCTCCGTCTTTTTTCCTTTTTTTTTTTTTGTTTTTTTTTTTTTGTTTTTTTTCTTCTTTTTTTTTTTTCTCTTCTTTTGTGTTTTTTTTTTTTTTTCTCTTTTTTTTTTCCTTCTTTTCTTTTTTTTTGTCACACTTTTTTTTTTTTGTTTTTTTCTTTTTTTTTGTTTTTTTCCGTTGTTTGTTTTTTTATTTTTCCTTTTTTTTTTTTTTTCCTTCTCTTTTTTTTCCGTTCCCATGTCGATCCGCGCCGGGAGGGCTCGTAAGGCTTTTTTTTTTTTTTTTTTTTTTTCTTTTTTTTTCTTTTTTTTTTTTTTTTGTTGTTTTTTCCTGCCTCGAATGGACGGCGTCCGCGGCGCCGCCGCCAGCGAACCCGGCTCAAGACGGACAGGGCCTGCCGTCGGTCCTCGCGCCCAACGGCTCCGTTCCCCGTGCGGTCGCGCCGGGGGATGGGCCCGTGAAGTTCTATATAGGGGGCCCGGCCGCGCGAGCGCCGCCTCCTCTGCCCCTTGCTGGCAGGAAGGTCGGGAGGGGAGGGGGCTCCTCTGGCAGAAGGCCCCCCCCTTTCTCCCCTCCGTTTCCCTCTCCCCCTTCCCTTCCCTCTTCCCTCTTCCCCTCTCCCCCTTCCCTCTCCCTCTTCCCTCTTCCCTTCCCTCTTCCCTCTCCCTCTTCCCTTCCCTCTCCCCCCCTCTCCCCCTCTCCCCCGAACCTCGGTCTCCCTTCCCTCTTCCCCTCCGTCTCCGGCGCGGGAGCCCCCGGGGACTCCGCAGAGACCCCGCGGAGACCCCCTGCAGGACGCCTCCAGGACTCCTGGAGATACCCCAGAACGCCACGAGAACATGCCCCACCCAGGCTCACGACCACCCTCCCCAACGCCCTCCTTCTTGGACGTCGCTGCCGCCGTCGCCTCCGATGTCGTTGCCGCCTCCCGTCGTCGTGCGAGTCGTCGCCGTCGTCGCCGCTGGCGTGGCGAACGGGGCTGTGACGAAGGCCTGAGCTTAAGTCGGGCCTGTCCCACTACAGGAGGAGTAATCAAAAATTGTAAAAATAGTCCGTAGACGATTTTGTGACTATTCTTCACTGTCGAACATTTTTGAACATATTTTTTATGTTTCGCCCAAAATCCGCCTGTAGGAGGACATGTCCGACCTAAGCCTGGCCGCCCAAACGCAAAGCCAGGCTGCGTGCCTGCCCGTGACGGGCGGGCGGGGGCCGGGGGGGCGCAGAGGACCCGCGCCCGCCCCCCTGGGGGGGGGCGCCGCCGCCGCGCCAAGCCTGCCGACCGCACGCGGGCGCACGCGCGAGGCGTGCTGAGGTTCGACAAGGAGGAGGAGACGGTGGGGATGTCGGCCGAGCCGACGGAGCTGTTTGTGAAGGCCCGCGCGGCTGGGGTCGGCGACTACAAGGGGACGTGGTTACGCCGAGGGCGTGGTTTGCGATCGTCGCCTCTGGGGGCCTGGGGGGCACGAGACACTGTCCTCGTCGGGCCTCAGCGGGGACCCCTGCGGAGGCCCCCGCCCGCAAGCCACACCCTTTGCAAACCACACCATTCGGAGTCGTCGATGGGGGCGGAGTGCTCGGCGCAGCCGCCGCCGATGTAGGGGCTCAAGGGACGGGGGCCAATGTAAACGGGGGTCAGCCAGGGGTCTGGTTCTTGCAGGATCCTGCAGAGCCACGGCTGCAGGCTGCACTGACCCGGGCTTGGGTGCAGGATCCTGCAGGATTTTGCAGGATCGTGCAAGGCCTGACTGACCCGGGTCGGGATTGACCTGGGTCAGAAGATCCCCGACGATGGCCGCGTCTCTGGCCGAGTGGCCCGACAGTTGCTCTGCCTCTCGCGATAAGCGTGCTTCTTGGGGGGTCCGGTCCGCCCACGACGGGAGTCCGCCCCGCCCCGCCGTGTGCTGGAAGGGCCTTCGGCGCAAGACACGGAGGACGACAATTAGCACTAGGAGGATGAGGACAAGGCGGAGGCGGCGGCGGCGGAGGAGACCTCCCGAGAAAATTCAAGAACCACGAACAAGAATTGGAAGACCTTTCAACATCTTGGAGGAGGAGAAGCAGGGGAGCCGAGAGGTGCTGGAGGCAATCTCTGCGCGCTGGTGCCGCATCACATCAGGTGCAGCAGCTAAGACGTAGCCCTGCCAGCAGGTGCCCATGACAATATGTCATCCCTCGATGGGCCCAGAGACCTACGACCTACAGGTGTGGGGGCCCCTTAGGACCCTCAAAGATCAGCGACGCACGTGCCCCGAGAAGTCTTGCAACGGGATGTTTCATCCTAATTGTTGTCGCTTCGCGAATCCCCACCAGCCCATCCAGAAACGATGCCCAGAGGAATTGCCTCGATCAGAGAAGTGGGCAGCACACAGAGGAAGCCATTATGAGACATCTTGGGATATCTTGAGCCATCTTGGAGGTCATTTTGGGCTCTCCCAGACGCTCTTGGAGTCATCTTAATCCGTGCACCCCCCCAAGAGGCCTCCATGTGGCTAAAACCTGTGTAGAATCAATGATTAGGCATTCTCGCCGAGGCCTCTTGGAGCATCTTGGGTGCATCTGGGGGGGCTCTTGGGGCCTCTTGGGGGTCTCTTGGGGGCCTCCGGGGGGCCTCTTGGGGGCCTCTTGGGGCCATTTTGGGGCCATGTTGGGGCCATGTTGGGACCTCTTGGGGCTTCCTGGGCGCTTCTTGGGGCCATCTTGGAGGGAGTCGATCAAACAAGAGGGGGGGGTGAATTAGCGCCCCCCCTCGGAAGCCCCTAAAATCGCCTCTTGGACCCCTCTTGGAACGCTCTTGGAGTGCTTTTGGGCGCTCTTGGGGCCGTCTTGGGGCTCTTTTGGGGCTCTCTTGGGGCCCTCTTGGGCCATCTTGGAGCCATCTCCAGGCCTCGGATGGCCATCGGAAGCGAAAAGGCGAGAAAGCAAAAAATCATTGATTTTCCTTAGGTTTTGGGACGATTTTGGCCTCTTCGGGGCCTCCTTGGGGAGCTGTTTGGCCACTTGGAGTTATCTTGGGGCCGTCTTTGGGCTTCTTGGAACCATCTTAGGAGCCATCGTGAGCGATCTTGCGCTATCTTGAGCCATCTTGGAGCTCATCTGGGGTTCTCTGAGGCGCTCTTGGAGCCGTCTTGGGCCATCTTGGACGCTCTAACTACCCGCGGCCCCCCCCGTCCAGGTCCAGGGGAGGGGGTAGGGGGAGGGGTAAACCCCCCCCCCAAGGGGGAAGAGGGAGGGGTGGAAGAGGATCTGCTCTAGACCACCTACGCCCAGAGGGCTGGTGGGATTGTGCGTCTGCTGTGTCCGACCCCTGACACCCATCCCCTCCTGTTGAGCATGCTCGATGCCTTCCCGCTCGTCGAGGCGGGTGTCGGGCCTGGCCCCGGCTCCCACAGGCGCCCGCACGGCACGGCCCGTCGTGTGCCGCACACGCTACCCAGCACAGCGCCGGGTATAGCCCGCAGGGGGGGCCCGGGGCATGCGCGGGCGGAGGGGCGAGGGGCGCCACCCGGTCGGGCGACTGCACGAAGCGTGTGGTTGTGCCGAGGGGAGGTTTGCAGAGGAGGAGGAGGAGGAGGAGGAGGAGGAGGGAGGAGGAGGAAGGGGAGGAGGAGGAGGAGGAGGAGGAGGAAGGAGAGGCGGAGGAGGAGGAGGAGGAGGACGGAAGGAGAGGGGAGGAGGAGGAGGAGGAGGAGGAGGAGGAGGGGAGGAGGAGGAGGAGGAGGAGGAGGAGGAGGAGGAGGGAGGAGGAGGAGGAGAGGAGGAGGAGGAGGAGGAGGAGGAGGAGGAGGAGGAGGAGGAAGACGTGCCCACACCGCAGCCTTTCGTCGTTGTCCCGTTTTTGGGGCCTCCCGGGAAAATCTCTGGTCGCCACCGCCGGATTCGCCTCAGAATTCGGGGCAGGACGCACCCCAGGAGGGGTCCGGGGAGTAGCGGTTTTGGTACCGTTTGGTTTCCCCAGGTTTGCGATCGGCGCCGCTGGGGCGTAGAGGGCCACCACGTTGCGCCAAAGGGTCGGTGAGCCCTTGTCGGGGCGCGGCGGGGATCTCTGTCGGTGTCCTCGCCCGCCCTTCCCCCCCCAGGCGCGGCTCTCAACCCTGACCTTCCAGGAGGGCTGAAAAATAGCACGCGACTTAAAAACCTATCCCCGAGCTATTCTATGTCTTGGCTTTAGGCTGTTTCGTTTAGTTTTTTATGTTTTTAGGCCTCCCGTGCTAAAAATAGCTCTCTGGGAGGTCAGGGAAGCCACACCCCCTGCAAGCCACACCCTTGGGAGGTGCCGCGCTTTGGCGGGCGGCCCGCTCGGCGCGCGCCTCATTACCAGAGCTCGAGCCACATCACTCCGCCGATGCGTCTGGCGTCCCGGTCTCGTGCGAAGCGCGGGCCTCTAGACCTCTGGACCGTCTCTCCCCCCGTGGCGGGATCTTCTTGCCGGGTCGTCCTCTGCCCGAACAGGGAGGCGGCCCAGGGTTCTCTCTCTGGCCCGGGGAGCTGAGGCGTCGCTCCAGCTTTGTGGTCGCCTGGTGGGCGGGCGCTCTGCGCAGACCCGTCCTCGGGCTCCTTGCCCAGCCGCTCCCTGCTCGCACGCGGCCCCCGGAGGTCCCAACTCCTTCCCCGGCGGCGCGGCGTCCCGACGTGCTCCTGGGCCAGGCAAGAGAGACAGAGGAGGCCAGGCAACGGCGAGAGACCTCCGGCGTTTCTTGTCCCCCGACGCGCGGGGTATGTCTGGTGCCTTCTAGGCCTCAGGTCTCGAGCGCC